TCTATCTATCTCATCATTATTGAACCTAGCAGCCAATTTCGAAGCACGGCTTCGCGACGCTGCGCAGCTTACAAAAACACTCCGATTCTCTCGCAGCGCAGCGCTCAGGGACGCAAGTCCTACCTTATATACCATATACAACGCGATCCCCAGTTTCCTCCACGCCGCGCGGCTCTATAGTAAGAGAACGTGCGGTAACCGAAGCACGACGTGACAAAAGGATCGAGCACGCGAAGTTCGACGCTCGCCGCGGCGTCACAGAGCATCCGGTATACGCCAGCAGGAAGCCGCGGCCGGCCCACATGGGCTGTTGCGCGTGGCCACTGTTTCAGCCGGGTTTTTTTTTTTTTTATTCTGAGCGAAACGCTGTTTCGCGAGAAGCCCCCCGCATTTAAATAATGCAAATTTTCTTTCGATCCCCCGGAACGCGGGTGCACTAAGCCCCGCCGGTGCGCCATGCTCGGAGGTGCAGCTCGAGCAAGTTTCTTTGCGCCGGGTATTAGCCTAATGCCGGCGAGCGCACACGTTTTCCGCATGCCACCGGACGGCCACAGATCCCCTCCGCTGTGAGAGGACGCAGTAAAACTGGATTGAGCGACTCAGTCCGAATTAAAGGAGTCGGACGATGGAGTGAACTAGCGAAGTCGAGAGAAAGAGTGGTCGGTGTTATTCAAATTACGACGGCCTCTGCCTACTTGCTTCTTGCTTCAGCTTCGCATACTTGCGCTACTATAGAATGTTCCCTTCCGAAGGTGTGGGTTTGCAAGCCGCGGAACATTTCAGGCAGGACAATGAGAGCGCGTGAACCGACGGCGTCTTAACAGGCGTGGGGCGCGCCCCTTTTTGCAATAAGTGTTGTAGCCGCTTCGCAGTTCCGGTTTGCCTGTTGGTAGGCCTGATTTTCTTGGCATGCATGCGCAGAGCGGAGTTGTACGGCCTATACAACTTCCAGATGTCGTGAAAAGCACCGAGATAGATAGACGGAGGGCAGGTTAACTATTATTATTATTATTATTATTATTATTATATTATTATTATTATTATTATTATTATTATTATTATTATTATTATTATTATTATTATTATTATTATTGTTGTTGTTGTTGTTGTTGTTGTTGTTGTTGTTGTTGTTATGTGAGAGGCAATCGCGAAGTTTAGTTTTCACGTTGTTGAACGTGTACAACGAGGCTGACAACAGCGACTCATGTGTTTTTTATCTCTGCTTTCTATGCTTTTTCTTTCTGACAGCGCTGTTCATTCCACTTCTTTCGCGCGCGTCTCTGGTGCACTTCAAACTAATTTTCAAATATCAAGGTCTGCCAACTAGCCCAACCCGCAACATTGTCTCATAAAAACATACAATCAGGCTATATATAGGTAAGTATAGGCTATGCATAAGCGTTATTCTTCTCAGCCTTAATCGTCTCTCAAACGTGACCTGGAACTCCGAAATTGGCCACGCAGTTATGAACTAAAGATACAACTTCAAATTCACACATACACTGACTTAGCAATAAATGGCACAGCCAGCACAAGCACAGTGCCTCGGAATATGTTTTTTCATGCGATCCACCTCGTTTCATTATCAGTCGTACTAATTGCAGATGAAAATGTACGTATGTTTGTCAGTCGTGCCGCTAGAAATTTTGTCGGGGGCCCCCCTTATATTTGGGGAGGGCGTCCTTCTGAAATGGTCATATTTTGCCCTTTATATAATGGAGGAAAAAATTCAGGGAGGGGGGCACGGGCCCGTTGTGTTACCTCTTGACTACGCCCCTGATGTGTATATATATATATATATATATATATATATATATATATATATATATATATATATTAAGGCAGCCAGCAGCTCCAATCGCGGCAGCGTTGTCTCCTTAATGGGTGCTACACGGGACTTCGCAATCAACAGTATCGGCTTCTCAGGACTTGATACGACGTATATCGCTGTTCCGTATGCCGCTGGACTATATATATATATATATATATATATATATATATATATATATATATATATATATATATATATATATATATATATATATATATATGTGTGTGTGTGTGTGTGTATGTGTATGCATGCATGCATGTATGTATGTATGTATGTATGTATGTATGTATGTATGTATGTATGTATGTATGTATGTATGTATGTATTCAACCTTGCTTGTTGTCAAACAACATATACTTTATGATGGGCCAACAAAATATGCATGATTCTGGCAGGGAAGAAAAGACAGCGGCACGACTTCACGCTACTGTATCAAAGCACAATATATACGTACATTGAGTTTTATTGTATGAAACTCTATGAATACGTATAAATTTAACATTTACAATGACGAGGAAAAGAGCGGATAAAAATTACAAATATTTTCTGGTTAACGAGTGCCGCACAGGAAACATGTGAATCAGATATACGGTTTACTTAACGTCCAATGAAGAAATAAAGGGCAATGCGCCGTTCTTATAAGACCCTTCAATAGTTCCGGTCCCTAAACAACAGTAGGAATGCATATACTGAATGAAACGTGCAAATTTGTTCTCGTTGCTGTAATTATACGCTGTTATACAGTCAGAAATGAAGGCAAAGCGCCCACCGCAAACTGTGTCTAACTCATTCAAGCGCTTAATTGAATGCATGCTTGCACAGCGTAAAACAACAACAAAAATAGCGCGATTTTCAATATAGAAGTTTCGTTCTCATTTTTCTTTAGAAAGTTTAGAATATACCAGATAAAGTTGATAATCTAACTCAAAGCAAAGTGCTCTCGTTGTCCTATATAAACGACGCTATTTCAGCCAGGAGTACAGAATGCGACAAATGCATTTTTCCTTTTATGTTAAAAAAAATTGCTTTTTTTATATTTTTCACGATAATATTGATATACTTCTATCAACAACAAATATTTTATTTGAGAAATACTTTTCGATCCAAGTAATTGAACTAAAGCAAACAGAAAACACTTCCAACAGTTACGGAAGCTCTACTTGTGTTGTCAAGACAGAGAAGTTCCCTTCCAAGCACGTTAACCGTTGAATGAGGTTATGAAGTGTGAGCTGCTGCGAGAATCAAATATGAAGATACCTAAATTAAAACCAGCAGATAATCAAGGCAAGTAAAATACAGGAAACGTTAATTCCGTTTCATGTCTATCGTAGTAATTGTGATGTAGATGTGAAGTGTATGAAAAGACAACTTGTCACTGGCAGTGATTGAAGATTCACCTTTTTGCCGGTCAACTCGACACCGAGATGCTATAGCGTCATGACATGTTCAAAGGACCACATGCAACTTAAAAGAAGCGTGAATATTGCAGCCATCCGTAGCATGTAGAAAATGCAATATTGACGGGAACTGCAATAATAATGAGAAAATGCAATCATTTATAATTTTTTAATCTTTTTAATGCACCAATGGTTGCGAAACGAGATCGCTTGGTTTTGAAGGACATGCGCACAGACTGGTTATGTAATTTTTAAAAACTTTGCACACCTGTTGGAACAAAATGCTCTAGGTGTAATAACACAGAGTACTCATTTATTATCCTCTCTAGGCACAAGCATGTCAGCTAGAACTAATGTTCTTGAAATTTTGTACACTAGATGAATAGCAGCTGGAATATTTTGTAAGTGTTACGCACATGCTGCAGGACCTCATGGGCTCATCATGTTATTCAATATGCCGAGGAAGTGGACCCCAGTTTTAAGAATGCGAAGTGGAAAAAAAAAAAATCTCGTGTAGACAGCTTTCAGCGATCTTGAAGAACATATATTGTCAAAGTGCGAGACTTTACAGCATGCTACGCCGTGACGTATATCCATGGTGTTTAGCTATGCGAATCATGTTACTCCATTAAGCATATGCAAAAAACACATACTGTTGTTTAGGTTAGTAGACTATGATCTAATGACTAGCTGCGCTGTCGCCAAACTACCAAAGATGTGACGAGACAACGGTAAGACGACTGGCGCTACGCAGGTATTGTTAAACGGTCACAATTCTGTGCCTCACCACAGTCACATGCAAGTTATAAAAATAAGACAGTCCAACCCTACCTGTGAGAGGCGTTTTTTCAATTCGTGTAAGGTGAAGGTAATATTATCTATAAATAGGCGGCAGTAAAATGTAAGCTAACACCATCTATGTTAACCAAACTCTTGGGAGATGCACGAGAGAACACAAAGTATTTATTCTTGCGGAACTCCCTTCTGCTTTGAAAAGAACGTGAAGAGGAAAGAAGATGTTTTAGATTACCTATGCAAGCTCTTTTTTTCCGAGTCTTTAAGCCGACAGCACAGGCATGCACTCCGCAAAACACAGAAGCATTGAAGAGCAGTGACATGACGTTGCAAGGAGTGGATGTCACATAAGCGACAACGTGGCGACGAACAAACACGTGACCCGACTGAACCAACCGCACGCTCTGAAATCACGAATGCGGAGAACCATGTCAGTCGTGGCAGCGCAATTCAAAGACAGTGGGAAAGAGCAGATGCGGTGACAACGAAAGAAAGGTGATACCGGGTGCCGGAGTCATCCGTGAAATGATTGAACAAAACGCGAACACGTATTCTGCTTCGCCACCAATGCCCATCACGCAGTGTCTATGTTAGATCCGCACTGGGTGTCAAGACAGTTGTATAACGAGTACGAACGGGCTGGAAACAAGACTGTATTCGTGTATTTTGGTTCGAGGACCTAACGTTCTGGGATTTCGTGTCCCTAGTGATTCTTGAAGCAAACAAAACGTAGTTGGGCTTGAAGTGCGCGACAACAGACATTCTCTCCACTGACGACACCTCAACCGAAACACACACTGGGGCACGGGTAAGTAAGGCGATGGTAAGAGAGCAGGAAACTCGCCACGAGGCACCGCACCGGCTAGTCGTTCACGCGCACAGACGCACCAGAGGAAGGTGTCGGAACAGCAAGATTGGACCAAGGGAAATAAAGCGAGAGGACGCGATGGAAAGAAAGAGAGAGAGACTGTTCTCACGTGTGCCGCGAGGAATCGTCTTGCGGCGGTGCTGTGCAGGACCCAGTAGAGGCAGAGGCCCAAGGTGACGGCCACCGCGTACAAGGAGACGGCGAGCATTCCGGCGGCGCGCACATCAACGCCGGCGAGGCGGCGAGGGCGCGCTGGACGCCGCACACACCAGCCAACGACCGCTCGTAACAACGGTCTACCACCACCGCCGTCGCTCGACGACGACGACGACGAGGTACCGCCGCCGCCGCGAGCAGCCGGCCAGGGGCGCTGCCGCCGGTGACGCCCGCAGGAGCAGCGCAGGCGCGCACACGATCGACGCGCCACACCGCGACGCCTGTTCTCGCCCCGAGCGCCGGTCGACCTATGTGTGCGCACCGCAGTTGGAGCGCGAGGTGCACCGATCGAGACCGAATCGGGCGACTAGTTGCGGAGGAGGGCCGGATCGCGTTCGCCTGCCGTAGTAGGCTACTCGGAAGACGCGGGAAAGGAAACACGCTTTAAATTCAATGAAGACAGCTACAACTGTCTCATCATGCTTCTAGTGACAATGAGTACACCGAATTACATCGTCAGCACCAGCCTCGGCATTCAGTTTGGCAGCCCAGATGACTGCAAGACTCTGAAGCGTAGAAAAAACAGGGTGTGGTTTGAAATCAAAAGCCCATAAACGAAGGGTCGGACGTGGGACCGCACATACTCCCACAGCCTTGTGATGCGAGTTTGCAGACACAATGATTTATCCGGTTGACGCAGGATAAGGATGACCGGGAATGTTTGGAGGAGGCTATTTAATTTCGCTACATGTAAGCTGGGCGATAATGCTCGAAATTCAATGACATTAAGTGGTAGGAAAGATTTTGGGTTGCAGATGCATACAAGTAAAAATATGAAAGATGCGAATTAATTACTGTAATGGTCAGGACGTTAGGAAGAAGATAAATATTAGTAGAAAATATCTTAACACAATAGCAGGCAACAAACGAATTAAAAACAAGTGGAAGAAGATACAGGCGGAGGCATTGACTTGTACAAATAAAGCAAAATGCGAGCTATTGAGGTAGGCGTTGTACAAGAAACTTTTGACACGCCAGTAAAACACACGAGGTTAGCTGCATTAAGGCATGAAACAAACACTTAGCTGTTGCTGCAGCCCCGCCGCGGTGGTCTAGTAGCTAAGGTACTCGGCTGCTGACCCGCAAGGCGCGGGTTCAAATCCCGGTTGCGGCGGCTGCATTTTCGATGGAGGCGGAAATGTTGTAGGCCCGTGTGCTCAGATTTGGGTGCGCGTTAAAGAACCCCAGGTGGTCTAAATTTCCGGAGCCCTCCACTACGGCGTCTCTCATAATCATATAGTGGTTTCGGGACGTTAAACCCCACATATCAATCAATTAGCTGCTGCTGCAGCAGCTTATGACGACGCACTGTCACCATGGGTAACTTAGCCACCAGTGGAGTCGGCGGCAGTCCCCGGCTGTTGAGTAAAAAGAAAATACATCGGGTGCTTAAGACAATCATGCCACAACATTATGCCAGAACTGCCATTTGCAGCATGCCATCTTCGGATGTTGAATCCAATGAAAACAGCGTTATTATTAAAATATAAATCTGAAACCTGACAGCACTTCTTGTGGTGCATAGCCGTGGAAATGGTTAGCACGTGTGTTGCAACAAACATAAAGAGTATTTCGTAATTGCGTATGAAAAAAAAATGAAAAGCTCACGAAAACACGGGAGTAACGAAAATGAAGGTTTTAAAAACACGACAGTCGTCAGTTGATCATCGTTCTCTGAGCTCAGTAGTATTACGAATGAACACAATAGTTTTATAATTCAGCACTCCGTTCGCATTTTTATTTGCGTTTCATGTACGCCTTGACTAACTATATTTTGCCGTATGTCTCACGTTTTCACATATTTACAGTCCATTTTAGGCACCAGGACAGGTAACCAACGATCTCCACTCGCACCATTGCCTATGCCTCAGCATAAACACAAAAGAACTTAAGCTTGCAATGCCATTGTTAAACGCGTATTAGCGAAACAGCAAAATGTGCGCCCATTATTCCTGATCGCGAATAAACTACGCGAAGCGCAGTACAGCACAGCCTGCAAAGCTTCTAACTCGGTTATGTGCCCAAAGCTATACGTATAAGTTGTGTTCATCTTAGCGTCAGCCGAAGGCCGGAGCCCGGAATGGAAATAATTTATCGACGATAGCTTCGTTCAGTTTTTAAGCACACGTGGCCCTTTCAACTAATAAATAGCGTTTATGAGAAATGGAAGAGGGCATTTTTCTTCGCTGTTTTTCTTTTTTTACGATATTGACCGTTCAATAGAGCATAACTTCAAGCCTTATCTGCATTGTTCATGTTCAGTTAAAAAAAGTAACGAAGAAAACAGAAAGGATTAGCGACTGAGAAGGCGTAGAAATAATAACGCAAGCGGCAACGACTCGCAAGCGAAGCGGGAAACAAGAGGAGTAGCCGGGAAGTGTGGAAGGCGCGCGCAATAAGCGAGGGCGATATGATGAACGGCACAGGCGGCTCTAATGACTGCCGACGCAGTTGAGTCTTTGTGTATCCAGAGGGTCGGAGAAAATCGTTTTCGGGAGCAGAAGAAGCGCGCAGGCTAGGCCCGCTTGGCGCCGGGGTTTATCGTTCTGCAAACAAACGAGTCATTCGCGCGCTACAGCCGCGAGAGCGAACGAGGCAGTTATGGAACGCTGCCGGACAAAGATAGCCGGGGACTCGTCATTTCCCCCGGTAAACGACACCGCTCAGCCATGGCGTACGATCCTCGGGGCGCATTCGTTTAACGCACCTCGCCGTACGAAAACGTCGGGAGATGCATGGCCAGTGACGGCGGCACCTTCGTTTACATAAAAAAAAAAAAGGAAAGCTTGCGAAACAAGCACTGCGCAGACGAAGATCCCGAATTACCTTACCATCAGCAAACAACAGATCCCTGATATCACGCAGAGAATCAAGAACGAAACAATGTAACGTGAAGTACAAAAAGACATGGTCGAAGTCAACAACAACAACAACAAAAAAAGTCAGCACGAGGGTTGGGAAACATTGAACGAGGAGGGGTCCTACATAATTCACTCACGGGTGTTGGTCACTGCTACGTGGCAGGTCGTGCTAGTGCTCCTCTCTCTCTTTCACACACACACACACACACACACACACACACACACACACACACACACACACACACACACACACACACACACACACACACACACACACACACACACACACACACACACACACACACACACACACACACACACACACACACACACACACACACACACACACACACACACACACACACACACACACACACACACTAAAGCTTTTAGTTATTTAGTACTATCCCCATTTTTAACGGTTCGGAACACTTTCTCTCCAAATTTCACAGAACACTCATTTTTTACATTTTCCTACTGAGCAGAGCTGTGACGGGCTCGGACAGCACTGGTCTCCACAATTGAGAAAGCTATACAACTCTGGTGTGAATTCCAAGTCACGTAGTCAATAAAAATATTTTCAGTTCGTTATCTCTCCTTCTTGTAACTAGAATCGTACGTAACGCGCTGCAAGTAAATGATTAATGGTAATCAATTAAACTTTCTTTTACTATTGTTACATAAACGTTTATGTTGTCGAAACTGAAACGTTCTAAGTAATTCAATCGCACTATCTCCTACTCAATTACCAGTAATTAACTACTTTTTTTATGAGATAAAGCTGTGACCAGTCTTTTACGGCGAGTTTTATCTCGAATAATAGGCGACTACTCTGTGAGGACTCCCGGTCTAACAGAACGCATACGGCGGCGGTTATAGAGCACCCCCCCCCCTTCCACCTTTCTAATGAAAAGATGAAAAAATATTTTCACATTTTCCTTGTTTTTTTCTGCAATGCCTCACCCGAGCGTTAGCAAGAGCGGGGCCCGACGCTTCTTGGACATGGACAGCAGCATCGAAACACTGCGCAAATACCAGCTGATGCGCGTGGTGTTCCATCTTTATCATACCACCGTTTCCTCCAGCGCATGCACTGAGAGGGAGTTAAGAGTAGCAGCTGACGTCTAAAGAAGGAAATGTGGAAACATCAGCAACGACAACCTCGAAACACAGCTCCTGTTGGGAGTTAACAACGTGTAGCATTTTATCACGCATGCCACAACAAAGCCTCCCAGCCTTCACACAAGCCTCCGGCCTTCTCTCTATCTTGCAAAACACAGTATTCCGCTGTACTTTGAGTAAAAGTTTGTTATTGTGTTACGGCAGTGAAATTTCGAAAGACAGTAACGCAAAAGCAATCGATTACATTGCTGTAATTGTTGAGTTACTTTTCTAGGGCTTAAATTGACCACTGTGAAAGAAGTCATTTTAAAGTTAGCGGTTGTAATTGTAATCGGTTCCTTCTTTTTTTTGTAACGTGTATAAAAGCCTGCTTGTAGCGCAAAGCGTGACCAACCATGCTCTATTCGCCACTTGCTACGCATTATTTTGTACCTATCATAATAATAACTCAAATCACAAAGTAAAAAATAACTGTAAATCAAGCATCCTTTGCCAGCACCTCGTGGGCTCGACAAAGTTGTGAACATCCCATGCTTCCGTCCTTCTGACCCAAGTGCTCCAACACGACAGCTAGTGAAAGGGGGCGTGAAAGGCAACACTCCCCTTTGTTGCGCGGCGCTTTGAGCTCAGCGAGGCCGCCAAGGGACAAGAAGAAAGAAACGGAAACGAAGGTCGAAGCCAATGGGTAAATCTGCCACGGCGACGAAGAAAGCTTTCAGCAACAAAACGCCGACGGCGACACAGCAGCTGGCTCGAGGTGGCTGACTAACGAGAAGTTCGGAGGCGGCGGGGGATGCCGGTAACCCCAGGGGAAAACCGCTAATGGAGCTGCTCGACAAAGACCTTCTCAAGCTCATCTGGCAGCCGTCGTCCATTAAGATCTCACAGCTGGGGCCCCCCGAACGAGGCGTCCTCGTCTCGACAGGGACGAGCTTTGCTCGCGAGGCAATGCACAGCCGGGAGGAGCGAGAGAGAGAAGCGCGTGGCGTCCTGAGGTGAACGCCAAGATTCCCCGAGCTTGTTACTCGATATCGATCATGCTTGGCGTAGCACATGAGGATGCCAGGAGACCAGGAAAACATAAGACGCAACACATCACAAAGGCAGGGAACAAGCATTGATTGCTGAAAGATAGCAGCGTCTAATACAACACTGACCCGATGGAAAAAATGACAGCCATGCGAAGCATTTTTGTGAATTTTTCGGCTTCAATGTGGGATGACGAATGGCTCTGGTGATTTCTCTCACCGGTCAGCGCTTGATGCTGCAACTGTCAGGTTGTCACCGCCACTATTGACCTCAAAATGGAGTTCAGTTCTTACTTCAAGACATCAAACATCTATTTACCATGCCATAAAATTATTGACGGTAAAAACCGACAACTACGTATTTCTGAAATTGGAGCGGTCTTCCATCAGGTCCTTTAATATGCACATCGCTGCAACTGTTTCATCAGGTCGTCACACATTTAGCATCGCTTTGCTCCATTGTATAACACGAATAATGTAACTACTCCCAAAAAT